GAGAGAGTTTGGGATCTCGATGTGGCATCAGGTGTTCACAATTTGGGAGCATCAGAAGTAGTACTTCCAGAGCATTTAGTGTCCACTGTTGTAAGGAGGGGATAAAAGTAGCAAACATGCACTCTTCCTATTGACCTACATACGGTCACGGTCACTTTCTCAAACAGGTGGCACTAATTTTTAAATCCCAGTTAAAGCCTTGGGTACATAATAGGCCACTGTTGCATAGCATAATGGCAGAGGGCTAAATTGACTCTAAGCTCATTAGAAATATGGTATTATACATTTCACTTTTTAAAAAATGTTTTTTGCAGTGCAGCTCACCAGCTTTTAATGTTTTTGTAGCTGATATTCATTTCAAGGTGTGGGGGGGGGTTTCCAATCCCAGTAAGTCTTATTTGCCCAGGAAAAGCACAGGATTCTAGAGTCAAGGGAGACAAAGGTGGTTTTATGCTCCCATGTCCTGGAGGCAGCTGTTCTTATCCTCTTGGTACAAGTTTGTGCAGCCCCGTTGCGGGGGTGGGCAAAATACAGCCTGCGGGCCAAATCTGCAGTGGGTCCCTCGGCCCCACCCAGCATAGGCACAAGAGGCAGACCAGGCTGTGGTGTGTGCAGCCAGCCCCACTGCCCCTGGACACCATGCCACTGGGGCGGCGTGGCTGTCCGACTCCATTTCCCAGCAGCCCAGTGGCGGCGGCTCCCTCCAGCTGTCTGTTGGACCCAACCCCACTGCCCAGGCACCCTGGCCCGTCCAGCCAGCACCCACCACCAGGGACGGGACCCATGCAAGTAGGGTGCTTGGCCAGGCATCCAGGAGCAAGACAGGCAGGGGGGCCAGAGAGACCCCAGGATTTTGGGGTGGTGACAGCATGGGGCCAGAGCCTGGGGCAGAGCCACGATCCGCTGCGCACACGGCCCCGTTTACATCCAGCCAGCCAAGTGCCCTGCCCACATAGCCCATCTTCAAGCCTGTGACAGGGGTTTTTGCTGAACTGTGTGTCTCACGGCCCCACATAATTGGCCACCCCTGCCTTATTGGCTGCTTTTTGTAATAACCTTCAAGTGTCATTTATACCAGCTGGGGATTGTTGGAGTGCAGCCTTGCTTTGACTGCATCCCTGATGCATCTTCTGACACGAACTCCAGGGGCAGGTAGCTCTGGCTCTGCACCAGACAGAAATCCCCACAACTGAGTGGTAAAGCCAGCCTCACGGCTCCTTCAGCTCATGGAGTAAGGGCTAGGTTCTGGTTCATAAAATATCTATAGAAAATGGGTTGCAGTCAGACTTACTGAATAGCAAATTGGCTTGTCACTAGCACAAATAAATTGAGAGGTAGCATACATCTGCTAGTAATGGCCCATCTGTAGAGACTGAGAGAAAATTATAGGCAAGTATGCGGGATATTAGGGAATACATATCCTGTATAAATAAAGGAGTTCTTTTTTTATTTGATCAAATAGCATAATATTTTTTCTGATAATTTATCCAATAAAAAAACTGCATATTCCTGAGTTGGAGTCCCAACCTTAATGTCCCCCATGAGATATTTTTAAGGCACTGTTCTGTGATATATTAAATCACCTGCTGAGAAATGTCATCAATTTATCATGACTTTTTAAAATTTTGGTAGGAGCTGAGAGCAGTCATTGCTTCTGTGGGGATACTTGTTACATCTTGGGAATAACCCTAGCTGCTAGCACAGAAGTTTTTATATCCTAAATCTTTGGTGGGATTAATTAACAGCTACCCTCAATCTGGACCTGTTAGCTGGTGATCATAGATATGTTTCTGATTCGAAAAAAGATGTTAGTGTAAATTGACCCAGTAGGTAGTCAGATTATTTTAACAGTTGACAATATCTAGGATTAAATTGCTTACCTCTCCATCTTTAATTATTATGCTGCTTTGAATAAATATTCTCTTGCCCAGTATCTATAATTAGGTATTATACTTCTCTCTGAACTCCTAGTATCTGTCTTGCCTGTACTGAGACTACCTTGGTAGTGAATGTATTTTATTTCTCCCTCACCGTGGTCAAATGAAAGTTGGTTTTATTAGGCAAGCTGGAGTGAAGAATGTCCTTGAACCAGTAGTGAGAGAACCCAAGTGAGATATTTGCTCAGCAGCCTGAATCACACTGCAGCCACTAGCTAAATGTTAATGAGGAGTATTTTTTTTATTCCTAAACACTAGAATAAAAGCTTGGAGATCAGAAAAGTTTGAACAGCTGGGGCTTATTCCAGGGAGACATGAAAGAGGGTGTACCAAGTATTTTATTTTGAAAGAAATCCTCTTAGCGCAAGCCACAGTACATCTAGGAAATACTGGGCATGTTTGGAGAACATTTGTTCCCAAAGTAACAACATCACTTACAGAATTGTACTCACGTACATCAACCACATTAGCATGAGAGGTGGCATTTAGGCAGCTGATTAATGCAAAAAAATGCTATACATTTTTTTAGCCCATCTGATTCTTTCTTTACACCCCAAGTACAGTATTGTTTTGTGTTTCATTATGTTCATAGTTGCATAAAAAATGAACAGTGGCATGTACTTGTTCCCAGACGTTCACCTTTCAAACTCCAGCCCCTAATGGAAATGGTTTATTTCTGTTGTATCACCTCTCATCAGATGCATTGTTAATATAATTGTACTGTGCTGAGCACAGTATATGATTAGTACTGAACCAGTCACTGCTGATCCTGGCATACTACCAGTGCTTCTGGTCACAATTATACTATCTGCTGTGATGGTTCAAGCTTTACCTAGAAGCGATTATCATAATATAGAGATTTTAAAGCTATTTTGGCTTTATAATTAAATCCTGTCTTTAGGACTATCCTTTGCAGTTCTTTTGCTTCTATATCTAAAGTATTTACAAGCACGTGATGCTTCTTTAACTTAATGTTCCTTACAACAATCTCCAGAGCCTAAGGACAACTGATAAATGTGCCATCAGGAGGTGGGACCTAGGTGGGAATTGAAAAGCACATGCATGACGAGATGGGGCCTGGCCCCCTGCAGGTTGTCTGCTTTCCTGTCCACTAAGGTGCCAAGCTAGCCAACTGGCTCTCTTGTGCCCACCCAGTCTTGCTAATTAAAGCTTTCCTGGCCTTTTCAAAAGCCTTTTGCACCTGTTACCTACCCTGCTGTCCCTCCTTCCTTCCCTTCCTTTAGCTGTAGTGTGGGAGCTATGATTTTCAGGAAGCTGCAGGTCTGACAGTCTGCTCTGAGCTCAGGAGGGAATTTTTCCCATCAGACCTGCCCAGGAAAAGACCTGGTAGATTTTTATTTTTAATTTTTTTACTTTTGTTGCAGCACCAGGCTTAGTTGAATTAAAAGCAATAGGATTTGAAAGTTTAACATTAGGAAAGGCAAGATTGTTTGCTCATCGAGTACTTTTAGCCAAAGGCCACTGCAGGTAAAGGTCAAAGAGCCCATGTCTCAGAGGTACAAGAGATGGTGGACTGTGTGCCCATAAGAGAAGGGAGGCTTGAATTCTTTATAGACTGGAATTGCCTGCCTCTGGCAACCGCTAATACCTTCCCTCTTTCAGGGGAGTGATAAGAAAGGTCTTTGGACTAAGCGCAGTTCTAGGGCAGGGCAAACAAAGTCTAACCAGCTTTTTTGGTTCAGTTTTGTTATATGGTGGGAGCCATTTAAATATACCTGTCTGATATATCAAAGGGCAGGTGAGCACACAGTACCCTTCCCAGGTGATAAATTTAAATAGTTAAGACTTGCTACTGAAATGTGCATCTTATTCATTTGCCTGTAGATTTCTTCTGATCAATATTTTAAACTATTTGAGTTAAGTAGCTCCTGCCATAGTAGGTTTGTATTTCCTTTTGGAAATGCAGGGCAGAAAAGGTGTTTAAATTATTTTCTCTCCAACTTTCAGTAGTGCTAAGCTTTTAGAATTTAATGTAGGCTGCAGTAAAAGAGTATTCAAGTCAAATCAGTAATGAAAGAACAGTGAAATCTGACGGTCTCCGTGTCGTTTCTTTGTTGATTCTGGTTTGTTTCACACATACTAACAAACTTCCTCCTGCTCATTCATGGTTCATTCAACTATTCCTTATTTTAGCATGAATGTAACTGATGGTTCTTAATGTCTCTTGTTCTTAGATAACAACCAGAAATGTTTTTGCTTTCCTCCCCACCTTCCCCAAAATGAGAGGTAAATTCTTTAGGTATGGAGTTAAATGAATTACCAGTTTACCTTTGCAAGCTCCAATCCTTATCCTTGCTTCATAATGGGAGGCTTATCTAGTTCACAGACAGTAATGCAGCATAAAATTTCATACTTGTGTCTGAAAGATAAGACATTAGGTTGGCATAAAAATTTCCCCTTATGATTTAATGGGCATTGTTTAAAAATAGATACTGAGCCTGTTTGCTAGTAATGGGATCTGACTTCCTGCAGGAAGTTGTACTTTGCAGTTGTTTTTGAATGATAAAAAAAATATATATTACTTTTAGATGGGTTGTTACATTTTACTCGGTTTCACTCTAAAGCCTCTCTTTTGCTGGTGGATGGTAACTACAATGGAAGGGATCTTCATTTTGAGTCAAATTGGCATAGCTCCACTGAAGTCATAAAGCTGTGACCACTTACAGCAGCTGCCCCATAAGGTCATAACTAGGACACAACAGCAGACGGCTTGCCAACCAGCCCACTTGCGGTCAGAAAAGTATCTTTCATTCCAGTTTGCTGGGTGTGCATGTGAAGTTGATGCAGAACCATGGCCATATGTTGAACAAGACCATCCAGAAGCAGAGTAAAACGGTGTCTAAGATTCAAAGTTTACAGTAAACAGGGGAAAAGCAAATGGTACTTTTGCTAAGGGGTCACAGTGATTTTGTTTCCTATAACATAGAAAAATATTATTAACGCGTACCAACTTGCCATCTTCAAACGTTATCAGATAGGTGGATAACTTTATCGCTTGCCTGTACAAATAACAATTCATTTCTACTTTTCCTTCCACTTCAGCTTGCTGAGACAGGTTCAGGTGTCAACTGCTTGGACTCCATGTGCTGCTTCTCAGATGGGGAAACAGCATGCACATCTGTTGGAAGAATGCTGGACCGACTGATAGGAAGATGTAGTCCAACCCGGGTCACCAGGTGTGGAATTTCTCTCAGTAGCCTTTGCTGCAGACGATCCTCCTATAAACTGGAACCTGATGAGCCTGCAGCAATAGAGGTTTAGCAAACCAGTTGCAGGCTTTGCATAATTAAACAGAAAATGCTATTCTTTATAGTGCTTTTTTGAACCTAAAAGATCAGTTTCTTGCTTTTTGAGAGTGCTTTTATTAGAAAGAAAGAAAATGATTCTTGAAGAGACTTCTGTTGAAACTTTTAGTTTGGCTTTTCTAGTACAAAATTCTTGTAAACGTGGTATTTTCTCTTGATTTGTACATCCTTCTCTTTAGAAATCAAACCTCACTGTGCTGTTGGTTTTCCTGATTTGAGCTTTTTGCCTTCACAAATCAGGACTTCTTTGTAAATTCAAAAGGTTTTTCCTTTCTTTCTTAATGTCAGTCCTCCAGATAGTCACAGTTGAGCTTGCATTGCATCCAAAGATATACAAAAGGCTCACATTTTCCCCCTAAATATAACTCCATCTCTAAAAGATGTCTTTAGATTTTTTCATCCATCAGTGGGTATGAAAATTGAATATTTTTATAATATGACTTTTGTAATCTGTTTCTAAAAACAAGTTCATTGACAGAGCAAAGCCTTCAAGTTCTGGCCTGTTATTTCAGTGTGTTCATGTGCATCAAGTATGTCAGCAAATTCTAAGTGCCATTCAAAAGTATGTGCTAAAGAAATGTCGTTTTCTTTAATTATATACACTAAAACACCTATTGATGGGGAAAACTAGATTAGAATAAGCAGAAATACTTATAAAGGGTAATGCTGACTACTCACTTTGGGCCTAGCTATGAAAAATTATAAAGCTATCTTAATTCCTGCTAAAATAACCGTTTCTGGAAAGTAAAGAGGGCTAGCTAACAAATATGGAATTATTTGGGGGTAGAAATTAAAAATAACCTTTTGTACATCGTGGTCTGTCAACCTCTGAATGATATCGTAGTCCTTCATTATTTGAAAAGCCAAACCTGAAAAAAATGTGCACTTCTCATTTACGAGGAGATTCACTTAATATTCCCACAACTGTCTTTTTGTTAAAGGACACAGTATCATTCATCCCAGTAAAAGCTTGTATGGGTAATTTATACTGACATGCTTAGTCGGTTCTGATTTTACCTTTAGGTGTTAATTCGGTACGTAGCACATCTCAGTTTGAGCGTTCTTGTGTTAACACAGTGTCTGTGGTTCCAGTCACCTTCTCCTACTCTAGCTTGCTTATGAAATTTTGTTCACTATTTCTATAAATCTAGGGGGTAATTATGCAAAATTGTCTCATTCCTTATAAAAAGTAACTGGTATGAACAAGTACGTTTTTTAATCAAAAATCTTGCTGTATAGAAAGCAGGCATGATCTATAAAATAAACGGTTTAATAGACTTTTTAAACTACAAGATGAGCATTTAATTGGTCTAAAATCAACATTTCTCTAATGGGTGCTGTAGGGATCTTTTATTTCATGTTGTCCTCTGTAGACCATGCAAGCTGTGCTTTGCACCTAGGTGGAACTTCTATTTTTCATGCTGCTTTTTAAAAAATTTTAATGTCATTTAATAAGTGGTACTTCTTTTGATCAAAAATGTATTTTGGTATTGTATGGCTTTGTAAAGGTAGGTATGGTCTGTTTTCCATTCTGCTTTGTGACTTTTTTCAGATTTTTTACCATTTCCTCCCTTCTCTGTGTGACCTTTTTTCCTCTCAGATGTCATATTTGACAGAATATAAAGCACTTTCAATACTGTGCTATTTCTCGGGCTTCTTGTGTGTTGCCGTATGTCATCTTTTTCCAAAAGACCATCCTGTCTGGCTTAATAATTTTAAAAGTCCCATTCTTACTGCTGTTCCAGTGTTTATTATACTCAAATGGTTCTTTCACAACCGTTTCGGTTTCACATTAGCCCTTCTCCTTGTGAAACTTTACAGGAACAGAATCCATTTGGTTTATTTCTTATTGTCTCTTTCTGTATGACTTCTGCTCCTTGCCTTCAGCATTTATATTGAAAGTCTAGTCTAAAAGCCAAGTGGCAGTAGGAGGATATATTTATGTTCTTCCCCTACACTTGCCTTATAATATGTGAAAGTCCTTGAACATTTTTGTTGAACATACCAATTACAGAAGTCATACGAAGCAGTTGCAAGCTGTGAAATGCTGAAGGTACAATTAAGTGTTTTTAATTCCCAAAATATATTTTACTTAAGCATACATCAGACTTAGGGACAAATACTGTTAATAGTCTGTTAACCAACTAATATTGTTAGAGGACCACAAAGTTCTGAGTGGAGTCGTCTGTTGTGTGCTGTGACTGTGGCATTAAACAAATGCCTTGTTCCACCCTAGGCGTAGCGGCATATCATGAGTGAGCAAAGTGCCACCTTTATATATGCGGTTTGTAAAAGCGCTTTGTACTCCGTCACAATGAAGGGCGCTCTTAAAAGGACCATTGCTAAGAATAGGGTTTGCATTCGCATCTAATAGGTGCACCCAATATTCTGTCAAATATGATTTCTGGATATGAAATGAAATGGGCTATCAGGACCTGGATGAGAGAGAACTCTTTTCTTTGATCAAGGTGATACAAATGCTTGGAGTGGAGGGCATTAGGCATTGGTACTTAACCTCTTTGCTGTTGTTAAAGACATTCTTCAAAATCCATTTTTTCATGATTATATTCATCATCTGAACTAGAATAGAAATGTTTCTTTCAAGCTGGTGAACTGTCTTTGTGTGTCTTCCGTTAGATAGTCTGTCAGCTCATCGGTCCATAAGATATTAAGAATTCTAGATCACACGAGTTCTCGTGATAGAAACCTGCCGTTAGTAATACAGCTGTCAAGGTACTTGCGTTTAGTAGTTGTGGAGAAACAGCAGATTTCTGACAGAGATGCATTTCGGAGAATAAAAGTGTTTCTACTCGTGGCTGTTTCCCTTCGCACCCCTGATTTTCAGTTTTTAATCTAAATACATTAAAGTTTAGTAATACTGCCAAAAGCAGAGGCATGTATAGAGTTTCACCATCTAGAGAAGTGACATGTTCAGGGTGAAAAGCTTTGTTTGTTTATCTCAATCAAAGCCAGTAATAGCTTTGGGTATTTTTTTAAATCTCCTGAGACACAATTTAGCTTAAATCTAGCATAGCCGATAGTCAAATACGTTAATGCCTGTAGTTAACTAATTAAGTAGGTGAAACCAGTTCCAAGTTAAATAGTTCCTGCATCTTCATTAAAACATAAAAATAAAATCACATTCCACAATTAGCTCTGCATATTCAGAGACTTTATTAGAATGATTTTACCATGCCAAAAATAAACTGTAGCATTCACTGTGCCTGAATCTGCACACACGTTAGTCCAGTTATCTCAAAGCGTAAGTATCAGAACGCTAACGATGCAAACCCAATTATAAAAAGGTATAGCTGTTGCAGTAGCTTAAGCCACAGCAACATTTAGTAGTTTGCTCTCTCTGTATACCAGCAAATTCACAAAATACCTCTTGCCATTTGTGCAGTGCAGAACAGTTTCAAGGGTGGGAATGAATTGTAGGCATTAGGACAGAATTAGCTGGCTACGGTTTTAAAAGGAAGTTTTATTTTTGGCATATCATGACAAAATTCTTCATTTGTTGCTTTTATAGACTATTCTCCTCTCCTCTCAAGTTTATAGGTTCCCAGTCAGCCAAACTTCTCTTTTATTATTGCTTTAGATCATGGAGCTCATCGGATCCCTTCTATACCAACGACCGAAGCATCTTGACTCTCTCCACAATGGACTCAACTACTTGTTAACAGGGACATTTGTTAATGCCTTGTGGAAGCCATATGGTGCTCACCTACCTATACTAGGTTATAAGAAAGTTCAGTGCTATAACCCACCCTAGAAAATCTACCAGAATAATGCAGACTACTAAATGTACAAACCTTGTGGTCTATCCTGTAGCATAGAAACACATACAACTGAAGGTCGATCTCTCTTCTAATCATAGGCCTAAATTGCTAAATAGTTGCATATTGAGAATGTGCTTTTTCTCTGACCATTTACTGTTTGAAGTACCATTTTAACGGATGGAAGTCCTGTGTCTGACATTATTTGGGATGTCAGGAAGAGGCAACAACCACATTTCTGCTCCCAGATCTAGGTACCTGAAGGTACTGACTTGTTTTTAAGTCTGGTATCATACTTTTAAGTAGACTCTTTTCCCCCACTTCAAGACATTTATATATAGATATATTTATTCTAAATTCATATTGTGCCATCTCCTTATATTCTTAGCAAATTGAAAATAAAGAAAGTTCTTATTTCTTCCATGGGCAGAACAGTTAGCAAGTAGAACATAGCTTTATGGTTATCCTACTCAACATTTTTGTAAAGCAGTTGAAATGCCATGCAGGCATTTGTGCTGGTGTAGAAATGGCAATAAACTAGTAGCCACTTCCTATAAATCATTCATAGCTTACATAGAATGGAATGGTATAAAAAAAGTTTACAGCTGCTGCTTGTTCTTTTCAAATAATGTTCAGGAGTCGCTTGTTCTCTATTATGCTCTACATGTTTTAATAATTATTGATCCTGATATGGAATAGCGGGGGAGAAAGATGCATATGAAATGGATTCTGCATCTCCCTGGCGCAAATTCAGTAAATGTAAACAATATAATCCTTTTAAAGTTGGCGATTTTTTTTGCATGTTTTATTCTTTCTAATGTATTTATACTTTACCATGTTGTACTTTGAAGACCTAATTAAGCATTAGTTATCTTCATCTGTCTGAAGGATCTGACACATTGATGGCAATGTTTTGATATACAGTTACACCAATAAAAATAAAATTGCACATGTGTTACTTTGGACAGTACTGCACATTTTTTCAGGTGCATTTTCCAATATAAATGTGTTTTCAGATTCTGGGACTGGATAGGAAGTCTTGCAAATTCATTCTTTAACAGGTGATATTGAGAGACACCAGCTAGCAGAATTGTTGAGTCAACTAGCTGCAGATGTTGAAAACTGAGAATTGGAGGCGATTGCAGCAGCGATGCTGACGATCCCCCTTGCCAAGTCGGTTGTTGGCAACCCTAAAATGTGTAGATTGGCGGAAGTGATTCCAGTGCTGGGACTGCATTTTCTCATGTTGGTTTCAGGCTCCGAATCTCCATAAACATGTGACATTTTTGAAACGCAGTAAGTGGAAAGTTGCATCTGCAAAATTCAGAGCTGGTATTTGCTGCTAGCAAAAGCAGGCTGCTGTGGAGGTAGGACAGAGTCTGTCTTACCGTTATATTGCCTAATGCTACTTAGCCTGGATATTACGGGAGGTAGAGCTGTAGGACACAGTGGTATATATGTACATACCCACAGCTTGTCTACTTTGCAGCTGTCTTTTTGGAGTTGTAGTGCAGGCAAACTAGATGGCTTACACTGGTTTTCATAATGGAGACAAAACCTTCAGAGCTTTCTCCATGGCGCGCAAGCTGTTTGAGGAGGAGTTTGTCTCCGTTACCCAAGTCCCAGATTCTGTGAACTGGAAAAAAAAATGATGTGCCTAATTATCTTCTCAGGCTGAAGTGAATAGATTTTACTGAAATCAGTAGAGAAACCAAGCTCAGTGACAGGTGAATTGAGCCCCGCACAGAGATTTTCTTGGCAGTAATATTTGAGGGAACTACATGGAGTCTGAAAATGTCTTAATTTTGTTGCAGTATAAAGGAAGGGTTGCCAGTCGGTGTTCCCTGAATAACCTTTTTGTGGAACTACAAAATTAAAAGAAAATCTCTTCCTGTTTCTCTTGGCCACATACGTTTCTTTATAAGATTAGTTAGGAGTCTGACTTAAATACACCGGCATGTTGTTTCTCTTCCTGAGAGTGTTTATCTTGCCACATTTACCTGGGAAATATCTTAGGAAATACTTTCTTTAAAAAATTCTGGTCCGATATCTGCTGTTTGTAGCTGTTGTTGTTTTGAAGACATTGTGTGTTAATTCCCAAAAGCAGTCCCATCCGTCCGTCATTCATAGCTTGTTTAATCATCCAGTGATTTCAGTGTTGCCATCTAGTATAATTTGTTCGTGTAATTAGTGTGTCATGTATGACAATCTAAATTAGGGTCTCTCTCTAGAAAAAGGAAGAGGCTGCCAAAAAAGAACCCAGCTCCAAGCATTTCTAACAAGCCCGTATCATACGTGTATACTTTGTGTTTGGTTGTACAAATAAAAGGTTGAAGACATTTGTGCCAAAGAAGCAAAATTTTAGCACTGAAGAATAATTTACCTTCATGATGTCTTTCAAAAATGTCCACCTCTCATCCCCCTGCCCGCAACTGCCCCTTCCCAGGGTGTAACCATGCATTTAAATGGCTTTTCCTGAACTTAAGAATTCATCTGTCTGCAGAGGTATACTTTTCTAGATGCAGTAAAACTTCATCAGCAATGTTTTATTTCCCATTAACAGGGATGCATAATTGGCTCCCCCAGGACTTGGTACTGACCTAATGACTGCTTAAGAAGGAAAGCAACGATATTGTTTGTAACGCGCCACAAATCATTTAAAATTGGCTTTGCTCCAGAAAGGCACTTGTATAGTTTTGGGAGCGTTAAAGTATACGTTAAATGCTGACTTTTAGATTTGGTAGTACGTGGGATGTTGCACAAAGCAGAGTCAATCATGCAGGCTGCGTTCTTTGTATCCAGCCGTAACTATTGATCTTTCTGATTCAAGACCAGAAGGCAGGAAGAACAGTTTGCGGTGCCCAGGTGATGTACTAGACTCACCTTCAGCCTTGTCACCCACGAGGCATATACACAGGATTCCCAGAGGTGTGTGCTTTTCCTGCGGGAAAGTCTACATCTTCATGCACTTTAACACCAATGACATGACAGACACAGTCTCCTTTTCCTGCGTGTTTGAAAGCAGTACATGGGCTTACCTTTTCCACAGCCACCTTTGGAATTAGATTAAATTCTTGGTAAGTCTTAGCACCTGCTCTGGGAAAGTTGCTTTTTCAGATGATGCATTTTCTATTGCTGAACATATGCTACCTTGCAGCAAACTCTCTAGAAACTGTCAAATGGGAAAAGTGTCCCTTTTTTTTTAACCTTATAATGACTTCACAACCTAAAATATAACTAGTCCACTTTATAATGGGAACCCAATGGAAGGGAGTGCCATAAACTTTGACTTTACAGGTCCAGAATAATTTAATGTTTTCTAGTGCAAAAAGTTATTTTAAAAGCTTTATATAATTTATCATGGTAGGCAACTATCATTCTTTATTGGGACTATTTAGTAACATTTTTAACATGTTATTCTTTTATGACAGGGCAAGAAGCATTGCATCTTTAAATAATGACATCTAATCTATAGGGTTGTTAATTGTTAAATCTGACCCACTTCCTTTGCTTTTAAGATTAGGTTTCAAAATCTTGTGATTGATTTGTGGAGCGCAGTATCCAGAAGCACTTAAGCATCATGTATGTGCAAGACTGCCTGGTTTGGAGCCTGACTTGTTATCTTGTTTTCTCGTTGTGGCTGTACAGTAGTGATGTGGCTCTAACAGAAGTTAACCCCTGAGAATTGTGCAATGCTGCTGCAGTTCCAGATGATCACAATAATCTCTGACGGATTTACATAACTAGAGCTGGGCGAACCTTTCATAGTAGGAAAATTTCCTAAATTAGCTCTTCATATTCAAATATAATTTACAGATACTTTTTTGTAGATGTGTTATACAACTATCCCCTCTTATGAGTGGATGATAAGCTGTTTCCACTCCACTATTTATTTATTTTTTATTTTGCATGGCAGGTAATTTATCCCCCTAAGTCATATCTGGTTCCTACTTTTTATTTGAATGACTTCACTTATAAACAAGGGAAATTGGAGATTTTCAAAGGTGAATGCTTCCGTTGCTGATCATAAATCCTCATGTGAATGCATATATGAGAGATTTCCACTTTTCACAAACACGTTCCTGCAGCTAAATATCTTCCGAAAAAGGCAATTGAATAATTACCCTATGTGCTGTCCAAGCTAAACCATGCTTTCCATTCAAGCAAAGGTTTTTTTCATAGCTTCTTCTGAAGTATTCGCCTGGCTCTAGCTCTTCCATGATACATTGCTGTCTTGCAGTAAGTGTAGATTAATGATCATGCCTGTAGATATCAGACTTGTTTGGTTGTTTCCAGTCTGTATAAATGCATGGAACTTAAATCAAGCTGTGT